AACATTCATTTGAAAAGATTTGCAGTCATTCTGACTACCAGTTGATTGGTAGTGCTATATTTGTTTTTACATACAAGACAGTAATGCATGCCAATCATCAGAACAATGCCATGGCAAATGCTCATAAGGATGTGCTTGCTTGCTTCCTTAAAGGAACACGCCACTATTTTTGAAAATAGGCTCATTTTCCAACTCCCCTAGACCTAGCTTGGGACTATTTTCAGGCGCTGCGTAATAGATAAGGAAAAATCATAATAAATAGAAAAAATATCGAAACTCTTTGGTCATTTTTGAGCGAGATGCTAAGGGGTCTAATCAGATTCAATGATCTATGCTAAGCTGCAGCTAAAAGTGCTACCGCCAGACCCGGAGATCGGCTGAATGGATTTGAAAATGGTAAAACTCAACTGTTTAACTCTAGGGGAGTTGGAAAATGAGCCTATTTTCAAAAATAGTGGCGTGTTCCTTTAAGCACTGCATCAAAGATACCATTTGATGTGCGGTTTCTTATGTGGAAAGTTTGGTGTCCTGGTGAGCTCCTCAAATATTTGCAGTCTGAAGAATTGTTAATGATTGCAACAGGTGAGTCATTAATGCAGATTGGGCTATGTGTTGTCCTTTTTCCTGAAGTCCACTATAAGTACATTTGTTTTGCTGGAATTCAAGGCTAGATTGTTGTTATAACACTATCCTCTCCTGCAGAGGGTCCCTGTATGTGTACTCGTCATTATCACTGATTAACCCAATAATGGTGTTGTCTTCAGGAAATTTGATGATGGTGCTCTACTGTGTAGAGATGCAGTGAATGGTTGAATAACGAGTATAATTAGGGCTGAGGCAAAAGCCCTGTGGAGTGCTGGTCTTAATTATTTTTATGGATGAGGTGATGTTTCCCATCTTGACCACCTGGGTTCTGCCTGTTAAAAGTACAGTACCCAGATATATTTACTCATATTCAGGAGTTTTTAAGAGTATCTTGAAGTTGAAAGAATCACATTTCTATGTTGAATGGTATGTTGACTGTACATTTGCTGTAGTGTTCCTGGGAAACAGGGGACTTTTCCCTCATGACTCCTGCTTTTTCATCTTATTTTTTAAATGTTGTATTGTTTTTGAAATATCATTATTGCAAAAAAGTAATTAAACTGCAAATGTCTATCTTTAACAGGTTGTCATGTTAACAATCAGGCAATAACGATATCGTTTTTGTTTCACAAACATTAAGACCATAAAATTGCTTTATTTTGAGATGGAAATTAAAGTAATGATAACTTAATGCACAGTAATTGAGTTAAATGTTGATAATAATTCTGATGAATTCAGTCTGTTAATTCTGTGAATGATTTATCAGAATGATTCTCTCTGAATGATTCATTTAAAGAACTGGCTCATGAGAGTTATTTGTTTGTGAATCAGATTACACCGGTAGTGCTGTATGTATTTGCATTCATTTTACAAGAACAATTACATGTAAATAGAAAGACAGGTTTTCTTGCTATTACTTTGTACCACACCACACAGTCTTTTAACATGCAGTCTCATCACATCGTTCAAACTGATTTTTGCTTTTGTTGTCCCTCTAGACTTCTAAGCATACTTTATTTTTTGCTATTTTATTTTGCCTTTGAAATATGAATTTGTCTAGACCCTGGATTTCTCAACCATCAATTGATATCCTGGTTTAGAGTGGGGTACCTCCAAACTTTCTCCAACACATAATAGTCATGATGTTTTGGTTTAGATTTTCAAGACAAGCCATATTTATATGCAATAAGTCATTAATTTGATAGGTTTACAGATATGCCCCCTTCTGTAACATTTTCATGAGTTGTTGGACTTTATTAAGTGGCAGTCCACCTACAATTCATGTTAAACAGGAAAACATTATGTAGTATGGCGAGGTGAAGCACTCAGGTAAATTATGATTATGAGGTTAAATGACTCCAATAGTATAAGCAGTCTGGACAAGCAAGGCACTCTATCACTTGGTAATGTAATTCCAAGCTTCATTAAGACTTTGACGTTTATCATTTTTCATCAGAGGCACCTGTCAATGAATAATTAAGCTGCGGATGAGAAGAGTAAAATCTTTAGTAAGAGTAGAGCAGGAGACCACTGTGTCATGCAAGGTTTGGTTTCCGTTTGCTTTGTGTAGCTCAGATTTAATGTAAAATAGCAATCAATGACCTTCAAATAACAGCCAACACATCTGTGATTGAAACTATGGCATCCTTCTAGCACATACCTTAAATGTTTAATAATGTTTCATGAATGCTTTAATAACATATTACAAGTGCTAAGTCTCTGCAAATAATCTTCTTGGTCAAGTATTCATTGATAAAGAATTTAAGTCATCCAAGTTATGCAGTACATTGTCATATCCCCATCATGTGTGTCTTAATATATTAGATGAAATATTACGGTCACTGTTTTTTTTTTAAACATTTTTGTTTTAAAAAAATAATTATGTGAATTAAAAAAAAAAAACTTGTAGTCCTATGCCATTCTATTATGAAAAACAGGCAATTTATTAAGAAATATTCAGGGTGTTTAATACTTTTTTTGTTAATTCAAACAAATATTCAAAATGTAAACAACACACATTTTTTTGCCAATCTTGTTTTAATTGGTATTCATTTCTTTTTTTTCCTGTCCTCAACTTCACTTTTTATCGTACTAAGCCTTTTCAATAGCCCTAGAATTATTTATAGACAAACATATCTATTTATTTATTTATTTTACAATGCTTACTACATGAATGACTCAAGTGAAGTCCAAATAATTTTCAGAAAGACCATAATTCAGACATTAGCAAAAAGGGAAGTAAGAAGAGGAGAAAGAGACAGGGGAGTAGGAAGAAAATTGCATGTGATAGAGAGAAAAGAGCAGAAGAGAGCTGTAATATCTTTGTGTGTTCGGACATCATACCGGGTGTCACATTTAATTTGGGCTCAAGCCAGAGACACAGCATCTCCCACAGTCAGGAGAAACAATGCACATTTTAGCCCATAAACAATCAGTAAACAAGCACTAATGGGGTTTTTACTGTTATGGCCAAGAAATGAAAAATGCAAGAGGATCAATTGCGGACATTCTATCTGCCATAATTACTTTCCTTTGAGTGCTTCCAGAAATCTGGGAGGTCTGTGGATTGATTCTTAGCTAATGGTATATTCTGTGAGGGAACTAAAATATGTCTCTCTTAGAGTCTGTGAGGCTTATTACCTTCTTGCCGTTTATGTTTGCCTGTGTGCTTGCTTTTGTGCTCCTTGAAAATTTGTGCTTGTATAAAGATGTTTTGCTTCTGTAGTTGGCTTGCAAAAATGAAATTCTGTAAGCGTAGCTCAAAGACGCGAAACGTGGCCTGGCGGGAAATGCATGTACTCTGACACGGTGTGTGGTGTTGCTGATGTTATCAGATACAAGGCAAAGTCCCATTAAAATAATAATAAAATGCATGTATGCAGGTTTAAATTGCAGAATGAGAGTTTCATTTATTCTAATTTGTTCTCAGCAAGACCTCAGTAAGAAGCATCCTTTCGACAGCACAAGAAAAACTGTAATGTTAATCAATATTCAGCATTGAGTATAAGGAGAGTGCTTTCAATATACTGTTCAGCCCTCTGATCTTAGGGCTTTGGAAATTGGGCTTTTATGTCATTTATGGCTCAATTTTGGTTTTGGCTCACCCAGCTGTTGTTAAGCTCAGCATATCTGAGTTTTGCAGTTGTTTTACCCAATTTAAACCAGTGAAATGCTGATGCACCTTTTCATCAATGCCACTCAGTTTTTGAAGTTTAAGAGCTTTTTTCAAGAGGACTTCACAATTCCTCTCTACTAACAAAGCACAGGTTCAGCCACATTTAACCGTCTCCTTTACACATCCTCTTACATTTGCAGAAGCCAATGCTGCAAAAGTGACATCTTCTCAGTTCAGATGTCTCTATCATCATTTTTCCCTATAGACCTGTTTAGAGGGAGCCCCAGTGTGCTACACTTTGACCTCTGTTACTCTTATCACGTAACTCTAATTGTGCTCATAAGAGTTTCCAGAATGTGTCACAATCGTTTTGTTTAGCAGATAGATGGTCAGTAATAGGAGAGGCAGTGCTGTTATGAGAGGACCTGTCAGCGGGACTTGATAATGCCACTGAGAGAGGAGAGGTTAAAGACACTGCTTCCTCATTAATATTTAATCTCTTGTCTGTGTGGCGGATCCACTTCGTCGCTCCCACTCATCACACCATAATTGCTTTACATTTAATTTGGCTCTGGAGAACGGTTTGAAGCTGAGTAAATTGTACTTAATGTTAGTGTGGAGACTTTAGACACTTTCTTTTAAAGTGAGATGTGAATTGGAGAGCGACAGTTGAAGCCTAGCTAATAAAGGGTTACGGTTTAGACGTTGATGTATGAATGTGATGGCAGACACTTACTCCTGCCTGAATATTTAATGAGATATCTTATTTAAAACTTTACTATTCATTGTGTAATATACAAGCTTTTGAGAGACTGGTCATTGTTCACTAATAATTAATTACATACAAGTACTAACATGCACAGAAAAGTTTCTATATTTAGGAAAGTTTACACATCAGTTATCCTATTCTAATGTTGATGCATGTAATGTTGATTATTCTAAATGAGGAAGTCCTTGTCTAGAGTTACACACCCAAGCCATCTCCATATAAAGGTTTTTCCTACAAGCTCTACTGTAAAGACATCTTTGTAAACATTTAAATTTTTTATTCTTTACCTATGTTTTTCTATTTTTTAAGACTTAGAGCGACTTTTGTTGTATGGTTTCTGTTATTTCTAAACTCGTAATAAATTTATTAATGAATCATTATTGCACACAGGTTTCCTTCACAAATTCGGGTACATGCACGGTTAGTGAATGAGCTTCCAGTGTTATCTCTTTTTGTGAGGATTTCCATGTTTGCGATCATGTTGTGCTCCATATGTGCGAATTACTTGAAATTGATTTATCTCACCCTTAGATGACACATACAAATGTTTCTGGAGCAGAAAAGAAAATGGCTTCTCAGTGGACTCGAGCAAACAGTGCAGAGAAGAAGGTGCCCCACACTCGCATTGAGGATGAATCCGACATACAGGTAGAGTCCTTATTGATCTACACGCAGTGCTTGCCTATTTCCACATGCACATTCCCAAACCAGTTTTCCCTCGAATTTTTGTTCTTGTTGCACAGAAGACATTATTTTGTAGCCATCAGAAGTCTGTGGCTTCAAATTAGTGGCAAAAGGCCATTTGGATCTTACACCAGAGCCATGGCCTTGCTCGCCCCAACGTGACCTCCCTCCAATCTGGTAGCGACCTCGTCAGGCCTGGAGGGAAATTACACCTCTTTATGCTGTTGATTGCCCTCGCCCTCTCCAGAGGTTTCTGACTGCTGTCTTTGCCAAATCCGCAGCAGGCAGTGCTCAGTCTTGCATGCGCAGAGATAATGATCAAGTTAATTAGACCTGAGATTGAATGAACTGCGGCAGCAACTTAATCATTTGTAACTTGATTAGAAATACTATATTCTCCGAAACTCCAGAGACTGGTAAACTTGAAAATTAAGTTCCACTTTAAGGATTCAGGTCTCAACTTAATGGAGTATAGAGAAGCTGGAAAACAAACCCACCCTCATTCTGTCCCCATTAGTCAGAGCTGGAGCGTTGTTTACTGTCACTATAGGAGGAGTGTGTGTGTAATACTTCACATAATGTGGCCTCTTTATTTGGATACCCAGAAAATCTATTCCTTTGGGAGGAAATTAGGTCAAGGCAACTTTGGCGTCGTCTGCGAAGCCACTCACATTGAGACGCAGAGGAAGTGGGCAATTAAGAAGGTGAACAAAGAGAAGGTAAGTGTTTGGTCGTCATGTTTCACCTGTTGACAGAGGTGATTGATGGAGAGCCGCTCCCATGGTTGTCAAGGATGGGTTAAGTGTCACAAATGCTTTGTATCCATGCAGGCAGGCACTTCTGGTGTAAAACATCTGGAAAGAGAAGTGAGCATCATGAAACAAGTGAAACATGAACATATTATACATCTGGAGGAAGTCTTTGAAACACCAAAGGTGAGAGTAAAAACATCTATTCTGTTTCACACTCCTCTTTCCTTTAAAGCTCACTCAGCTGTGCTATTGTGAACTCAGTCAGTCGTATGCAGCTGGATTGTGTTTGACAGCGGTTTCTCGTTTGATGTCAGAAATGAGAAATGAACATACAGTATGCGTGCTTGTGTGCCATTCTCCAGAGGATGTACCTCGTGACTGAGCTTTGTGATGGAGGCGATCTAAAGGATCTACTGCAGAAGAACAAGCACTTCACTGAGGAGGAGACCAGACACATCATCAAAAGCTTATCTGAAGCTATTGTTTATCTGCATAAAAAAGGTGACGCACACAAAACCCAAACATCCCCCAAAAATTGCTCACATCTTTGTTAAGTCACATGCAACGGCCTGGACTTCTTTGTTCCCCTCATATCCGATAATCGCTCTGATGATTGCATCCACATTAAGTTTCTCTGTCATTACTGAGAATCGGGCTTGTTTTAATAATGAGATAATAATGAACAACTGTCAGACAAAATATCAGCCCATTTTAATTGAGTCTGAGGGGTTTATTTGAAAATGTTTGGCGTTTTTTCTCTTTCTCTCTCCTTCTCGTGAAATCTGCAGTTAGAGGTAATTTAGGACGTTGCTTGGCAATGAGACACCATTACATGGGGCTAATGAGTCATTAACAACGAGCAGGGGAGGAATACTGATTAATAGGTGTGTTTTTCAACAGTCCCCGAGTGCTGCTGTGTCTCACGTCTAGAGAAGCTAATGATGCCACTTGCAATGTGTATATAGAACTCGAGTGTTTTATGAGATTGCAGTATATTAGCCTCACACGCTGATTATAATTTGATTATTTTCACATTTCTATTTAAGTGCGTACAGTTACCATGTGAAGCAGTAATGAAGAATCATGATGTGTAGATTGAAAGTGGTAAGAAGAGGTGGGCTCTCTTCTTATACTCTATGCTAGGTTCATATGAGAACTGACAGTAAAGAGTTCCAATTTAAAAGGAACAGAGCAAAAAATGTCACCAGAATTGGTCATTAAAGCATATTTAAAACTATTACCATTGCAGTGCCTTGCATTTTTGCCATGCTCTCCTCTCTATGAATAATACGAGCCCATCTCTCCCTTGCTCTGTTTCTTCATTCTCTCTCTCAGACATCGTTCATCGTGACCTCAAACTGGAAAACATTCTTGTGAAGAGTTGTCACCAAGGCAACGATAACGATATGGTCAATATCAAGGTGAGAGAGATGGTAAAAACTTCTTGCGCAGGCATGTGGTATGGCATTCAAACGCGGCGGGACCTCTGGACATTCTCGTCTGTTGTTTAGTTCTCCCACCGTCCTCCTTGCCCAAACCTTTTAACTGCTTTTTAAATACTGTCTCATTACACCAGACCTCCTGCCTAACTCCTTTCATATCACATTCTCAAAGAAAATGAATCACAAGTGGCTTTTCTGAGACAAATTACCAGCCGGGGCACAGCGTGGAGCAGAATAGAGCGTTGACAGGAGCCGACTGAAGCCGCTACCTGGAGCGGAGGGTTGAATCAGGGCGGCGCTGTGTTATAAATCAGAGTAGAACAGGGGCCCAAAGACAGCGCTGTCCTGGCACTGTATTAAAAGCTTTTATCTGGCAGAAGGTGGTCATCTCTCCTGGATATTAATCCTGCCCGCCCCTGACGCACCAATGAAACGATATACACTCCTCGTATATATTATTCATACGGCTCAGGAGCGCATAGTCAGTGCGAGTGGGTGTACCGGCTGCTCTGTGGAAGTCTGTTTGGCCTGTAAATAGTTTAATTGAGATCTAGAAGTGAAAGCGAAACAGATCCAGTGATCCAGTGCAGCATGTCTGTAGTTCATTATATTCAACATTTCACTAGATCAGAATCTAATGATGAAAAACAGTAGGAGAAGGAAACGTTTGAGTGTGTCCTGTACTGTATGTGCTTATGTTAAACATTGTTTGATTTTGAATAACATGTCAAAGGCCTGTCCTATCTCATCTCAGGTCACAGATTTTGGACTCTCTGTGCAGAAGGGCGGTGTAGGCAGTGAAAACATGCTGCAGGCCACCTGCGGGACGCCTATCTACATGGGTAATTCATATATTCAAATGCATACATTCACATGTTCCATTTACTTGTGATTTGATGAATTACAGTGTTCATTAATTGAATGAAGCGCTGATTAAAATGAGCAGTAAAGAGGAGATGACCTAATTTAAGTGATGTGAAGCTGATAACATTCGAGAAGGAGTAGAGGCTGAAAGCTGTCAACGGCGTCACGCATCAGATATCACACATTACACCAGCCTCAAACATCTTTCATTATTGACACATGGACTTGCCCTTTCAGCGCCTGAGGTGGTTAATGGTCACCAGTACAGCCAACAGTGTGATTTGTGGAGCATTGGCGTCATCATGTACATGCTGTAAGAAGATCTCTCATGTTGTTTTCCATCTCATGCCCACACACAGACTCACATTGCTGACTTAAACTTTGTGTGTATACTTGTGTTGTGTTTGTTATACTTTTTCAGGCTGTGTGGAGAGCCTCCTTTCATTTCCAGCTCTAAGGAAAGGCTTTCTGAGATGATTATGAAAGGAGAGCTAATTTTCTCTGGCCCTGTGTGGCACACCATTAGTGATGCAGGTTAGAACTGCCTCTGTTACCCACACCGCTCCATTACGGTTGCAGTTAAGCCAGTGTGGTAACTATTTTATGTTTTGTCTTACAGCCAAAAATGTAATACGGTGTTTGTTGAATGTTGACCCAGCTCACCGCATCACAGCCAATGAGCTGCTAGATAACCCTTGGATTTCGGTAAGAGAACTCAATTACTCTCTTCCCTTTTAAAATGAGGTCATGAATATTATAGATTGGGAAAACAGCTAATTAGCACTCTTCAATTTGATGGATGACTAAATGTGGAACTTGACAGAATGAAAGACCTAAAAGAAAGAAAATCTGTGTTCAAAGGGGATCTCCACCACCGTTACACGTACAAACGTCTTAGAGATGATGCGTCAGTTCCGGAACGCTCCAGAGGACGAAGAGAGTGTGGAGATGAGTGAGGGACTGCAAAACCTCTCTCTCACTTCCTCTCAGGACAAAGGGTCAGGGCCGAGAACATCTCAAGAGCTCTCAGTAACCCCAGCACCTCCTGAGGACGTCATAGACAGTAGCAGTAGCAGCAAACCCTCCACCCCAAACAAGAAGGTAAAAAAGTATCGCAATACAGTTCATTCAAATACAAAAGTGAAGCATTTCTGCTTGATCATGCATTAAGAAAAGCATTCTGTTGCTCATTGTATTATGAAAGACCAAATGTCAGACCAAAACTTTCAAGAGCAGTCTGGAAGAATCTCAATCCTTCATCATGGCCATAGGAATGAAAGTCCTATTTTTAGTTATAAAAATAATAAATGCTGTGATGCAAATAATTTGCTCATCATTTAATGTGTATATCACTGCACCCATAGAGAATTCTGTTATTGTTTACTTGTTAGAGACAATACAGTATCTAGTTAAAGGGGTCCTATTATGCTTTTTCACTTTTTCAATTTTAGTTAGTCTGTAATGTTGCTGTTTGAGCATAAAAAAGATCTGCAAAGTTACAAAGCTCAAAGTCCAATTCAGAAGGAGATATTTTATTTAATAGAAATCACTTTTCAAAAACTACAACGAACCCCCAAAACAAAATCAAGACTTTGTAAAAGAGCATAATAGGACCCCTTTAAAGGATGCCACTTAAAGAACTTAGTAAAATGTATATTTAATGAATGTTTGTGTCCTTGCATTTACATTTATGCATTTAGCTGATGCTAAATATCCAAAGCAACTTACAAAAGAGGAACATAAGCTTTTTAGTACTTAGCCATGAACAGTATTCATAGTATGCAATGCCAGGTTTATTAGAAAGCTACATTAGGAAAAAAGGCAGAGCATATGTGAAATGCAGAGAAGAAAATTAGTTAAAAAAAAAAAAAAATCCTTACTAACTTTATTATGTGGTGGGCATTTTAGAAAAGCAATAAGCACTAAAGCAATACAACTATATTGTAAAAAAAAACCAGCTAATATATAATATTTGTCTAACAACATCATTTAGCGGAGACAATATTCACAAGACAACAGTTTTTAGTTCAGTTTTTAGCCTGAATTGAGGTAAAGAAACAAAGCTTATGGTGTTCATTTTGTCAGATTTTCTTGTGAGTTGATGTGTTATTTTATTGTAAACATAGCAAACAGTAGGCAAGCAGTTTTGTGGAGTTTGATATATGCAGATCGGAGCTGCAATTGAATGATCAGAAATTCTAATATTGCTGACATATGCACTGACTTGCACGAAAGGCTTTGAAGGTCTCTCAAACCCTCTGGGTTTTTCATGTGTTATATATTTCATTTCTATAGCCTCTGAAGAAAAAACTATCAGCCTCATCCTCTAACGGTGTTAAGAAGAGTGCGTCTGCTGCAAAGGCCTGCAGCACTTTGAATACATCCGCTGCACAGGTCAGTCATTCACTTCACTGAGCTTTGAACTTCATTTTCTAAAACATTTGTGCTTATTCAAAAGGAGATATTTTGTCTCCTAAAAGGTATGTGAAAGAAATCCTGGCAATTTCATAGCTAACCTCTATGATTGGATTTAAAAAAAAAACCCTGCCTGTTCTCTGAACAGCCACTAGATGGTGCCAAGATAACCCTTCTCCAGCAGCTGTCATACAGCATGCAGCACTGTCCAGTAGTGTGGTGTTTTGCGCTTTTGTGAGATGAATGAGAGTGTCTTATCTCCGCAGTCCCACACGGGTTACAAACCCCCGGCTCAGCCAAGCACAAAAAGCTACAGCAAGGCCTCCTCCATCTCGGGATCCTGTCTCAAACCATCATCAACCGAAGCAGCCTCTGCAGCATCCAACTCAAGTAGGCGCGAAAGCTTGTCCCCACGTCCCTACACCACTTCCATCCACCGTTCCACCAATCCAGGCTTTGGCTTCCAGGCTAAAAAACACAGCTAGACCTCGGCAGTGAGACTGCTCGAGTAGTTGCGTTCAGTGCCAAAGGTGAGAAATTCAAGGGGGCCGCTGCTGCGTGGTGGGCCCGCTGGATACACAAATGACAGCCAGAACAGTTTTACAGTGAAGCAGAAGTAAAACTGTACTTCCTCCAATGTGAATGTGCTTTTAGTCTCCTTAGTAGGATGGATCTTAATAGTCACTTTTTATGAAGTACACAGAGGCCCCCTCTTTTGAGGATGAGCTACTAGATTTTTGGGGGGTTGGTTGCTGCTTTATTTTTATGGACCTGGAACAGATGAAGTCATCACGCCTATTCATGGCATCTAACATAAGGCGCATAAGTCATCTTTGCACATTGAAATGCTATTCTCTAGAGAATAAAGGAAGTTCATATGTTTCATCATGAAGGACTGTGAAGAATGTATTGACTATAACAGGGTTTAATAGCTTTTGCTCTGTGTTTTGCAATAATAAATAGGCAATAACAGAGTAATTTGATGCAATATTCAAACACAACATAGCATTCAGATTCACCATTTTCGACTAAATCAAATGCCACAATAGTACGTGTAAAAACTGTCTATTCATTTTATGAACATCTGTTGTTTCCTCTGCAGTTGTGCTAATCACACCGGTCATCTTCTGCCAAATCACATCAGGTAGCTGTTGTATATGAATAGTTCTTACTTGTTATCCATTAAAAAGAAGCCATCCAACAGCATTTCATCTTGACTTTCAGTGACTCGTGTACACAGTATATGTGACCCATTAATTTCCAATGAATTTTTCCTACCGATGTTAGACGTGCAGAACACTTGCATCACAAATAAATAAGTCAGGGGGCGAGGGAAATTTAATATTAGCCGTATGCTATGACTGTGAGCGGTGGGGCGCCAAGGGGTTGACACCATGAAGAGAGCAGGATTGGGAGCCAAAGTGCAGGGTCTCTAATCTTGTTGAGAGCAGCAGGGTATACTGTGAGTTCTGCAGCACTCCAGCACTGGTCTCTCTGCTGAAGAGAAAATAATCCCCAAGATGGATACAATATTAAAATAGTCAAGCAGAACTCACACAGACTGTATTAAATCCTCCTATCTGCATGTGGATGTATGCGAGTGTGTGTTTGTGTTCATGGGAATTTCAGGGAGAATACTGAAGGCCCCATCCATTTAACCCTTTTAAATTTATTATTACGTGTGCACTCATTTATCTTTTCAATTTTATCCTTTTATAGTGATGGACTGCATTAATGTACAACTAGGTGCAACAGGGTAAAAACAAGGAAAAGCTTGTTTTATTATGAATGTAGTCCAAAGGGCCTTGTTAGGAATGAGGCCTTGAATGTGTTGTTGTTTTTATAAGGTCAGTACATTATTTGTGCATTAATATGTTTATTTTCATTCAAATATTTTTTATTAAGCACATTCTTGAAGTGCCATACTTGTGCTAGAAGATTCAACAGAACGTTGCTATGAAACAAAAAATAATGACGTGCTATGGTAGCTGTGTATGTAACAATAGACAATCAGGGATGAGATATTATCTGGAAAACTAATTCTGTAGTTGATACGAAGATAATTTAGATCTTAGTATGGAATCTTTAAGCAATATAACTAATTAGATTGGTCAAACACTGGCTCATTTTACTGTTTGTATCACTCCTCATGTTTGTGTAAATGGATTTTTTTTATTTATTATTCTTTTGGAACAAAATGGTCATATTGTTTTTGAAATTGGTGTTAGTAAGATGTTTTAAAGTTTTTGAAGTAAATCCCTTATGAAAAGAAACAGTAATTTTGTGAAATATTATTAAAATTTTTAATAACTTTTCTATTTTAGTATATTTTAACATTTATTTTATTCCTGTAATGGTAGGAAACTGAAGCAGAATTTTCAGCATCATTACTTCAGTCTTCACATGATCCTTCTGAAATCATTCTAATATAATGATTTGGTGCTCAAGAAACATTTCTTAATATCAGTGTTGAAAACAGTTTTACTGCTTAATATTCTTGTGGAAACCAAGGTACACTTTCCTGGATTTTTTTGTAACTCTTTTATAACATTATAAATGTATTTACTGTCACTTTTGATTATATCAAGTAAGTTCATATAAAGTAAGTGTTATTTCAGACACAATATGACCAGCATTTTTGTTCATATTTGCTCCATCTAAATAAATAAATAGTTTCAAAAGAATCCAAAGTAGAATCAGAAATTCTGTGTAGCAATCCCAAAAGGCACGGCACAAACAGTGAAACACTTCAGTTCCAAATATCATCACTCTTGGCTCGTCCAATCAAAGTGGACTGGAACTATCATATAATACAGAACTAAGCTCAGTGATTGTTCAGCCTCAGACTTGTATAACTCTAAACGTTCTGAGCAGAGAGATACCACTGGATGGAGCTGTAGAAAACATGAAGCACTGTCACGCTAGGAACAGAGACAAGTGTTGGATCACAATAGCTCCGTATCGAGTTTCCTGCGTGTCTGGCCGTGGTCACTTTTGATGGATTGAGCCATTAAATAATTATAGTGTATGACAGTGTTTATTACCCGTACACAATGAATCATATCCACAACCCGATCTGAGCGATTGTACTACAACAAGATGGACTTTCGACTACCACTAGCCAAACCGATCCATTGATGGAAAAAAGGGAAGATAACAATGATTTATATGCTTTAAGAAAATCTCAACCCCCTCAAGGCTGGGGAGTGAATTTGCATAAGGCATGTTTGGAGAACCTCCTGTACAGCTAATGCCTTGTCAGTAGCAGGGATGGGATTTCAACATATGGCCCTCATTTTCTTGTGCCAGACTTTTAATTCATTATATCAGTGAGGGAGAGAGAGAGACAGAGAGAGAAATCTTCAAATTGAATTGTGCTGGTGGAATGTGACCTGCAGTAAATTACAGGAGTGCATCTGTAGGCCTCGGGGAGAGAGTGAAAGAGAGCAGAAATTTAGTAGATTAAAAAACCGAGAGAACAACTTGGTTGGAGTTCGGCTGGAGGAATGGCCCTGATATCTTCACATTCCTCTTTGCCAGCACATCCACAATTTCGTTTGTTGTAAAATAGATTTTTTTGGGGGAGATCTTTATCCCGCAAACTTTTCTTCCGAAAAGCCAGTGTGCGCGCAGTAGGCAGGGTAGCATGGCAGCTGAGAAAGGGGCGTTTGTTTGGGACAAGCTGTAGAGACACCGAAAATTAGAAAGGCAGCCAGTTGGAACAAGGTGCTTGCCTTCCTCCTCCTCTGCAGTAGTGTAGCCTGACAGATGGGCACCGGGGAGGAGGAGGAGAGGGGGAATTAAAAATCGGTCGCCTCTTTTAGATCCTGGAGTCAGAAGCACCGAGGGATGCGGAGATGCGGCCCGCTGTGTGACTCCAGGAGTTTGCAGGTGTGCAGGAGGTGCTAATGTCACTTGAGGTTGAGGAATAGAGGGAGAAGGGATTGTAAGTGCCCCCCTCCGGTCTCCCACCCACGCCGGACCCAGCATCTCCTCGTACAGGGAGTCGCAACTCAATAACCTTAATGGTGCTTCTCCTAATTAATCAGCTCATCTGCGGAGACCTGATACCTGCAGTCGAGTTCCTCCTAATGCACAGCATCCTCACCATGTCGCCCGTGACATTGTAGTAATGAGCTAATGCGGCTACAATGTCACACCAACGTTGCAGGGACATTATCTGTGGGAGCTCATCTCACATGCTGATGTCCCTGATCCCCTTCAACGCAAAGCGGAGCCGGTGTGGCGCGTTGGGTGCTGACACAACCGCAGACGCCTTTCTTAAGAGGAGAAACGCTCCGCCTCGAGTAAACATCCGAAACAGATGGCATTTTCAAAGCAAGCTTCATCAATCTTTGTTGACACTATCCCTCGTTTTTTCCCCCCAAACTGCTCTTATTTGGGATATTTGCAATTATAATACATAAGCTCATTTGAATATCAAATTAATTAGCGAACACACTAGAGTAAATGCTTTTTTTATAAGTCCTTGTTAAAAGTGAAAAGTTCTCAACTACGGTCGGATGGCGTGTTAATTTACAGTGATATCTAATCCCACGTCGCCAGACATAAAAGGCATTACTATACATATTTTAATGGGGAGGTGGTTGTTTTCCAAGCAATTTTCTGCTACAGTACATTCTTAATTTATTCATATTTAATTTATTGGTCTCTGCATACCCACTCAGCAAAACTAATCAACAGCATGTAACAGACCTCTTAAAGATACAGCGGTGTTTGGCAGGCGGCGGGACATGAGTGGCCCTCGTCTTCGAGAAGGCGCTCTGAGCGCCGAGGACAGTGCCGAGACGCACGCATGAACTCCCCCAAGGAGACTGTTTGATTCCCACAGACAACCTTTTGATAATTGAAAGCGAGTGAGCGAGAGGAAAAAGGAGTGAGAAATGTGGCCAGCCTTGAATCACCTGAAATATTTCAATTTTGCGGGTGCTGACCATCAGCCCCTGCTGCCAGAATGTCATCCACAGAGGACTGCTCACCTCCCCCTCCTCTTCCTCATCCCTCATTCCCTCTCTGCAAACTCCTCTGCCCTTGAATCTGATTCGTTTTTTTCCTCTCTCTCACTTGCTGCTTTGGCAATCATTTAACACAGTGTGACTTGAGTTCTTATCACCTGTGTGCACTGTATGCTCCAAATACCTATCGACCCATTGACACAGTGTAAGGAGGGACTTGGGCAACCTTACACATGGAAATTATTTCAATTAATTACCATTTCCCTGGAGAAGGCCGAGTGGCGAGAAGAAGAGCGAGCGAGACAAAAGGTCCGAAGAACGGGAACATTCTTGCGGCGTGATGCGCGCCATGTGTAATGAGCGTTGGAAAGGTCATTTGACACGTTTCTGTTGCTATGAATCAATTTCTTTTCGAGCACTTAATTCTTGTTTTGCCGGCATTGTGTGAAGAGGGTGCACTGACCAGAGCTGGGTGGGGGGGTTATTGTGCAGTTTTGGCACAATATTTGAGGGCACCTGCAGGGTTACGGAAGAGGATGGAGAGGGGCGCTCTAATGAAATCGAGCATCAGACCTTCTATCATAGGAAAATCACTGCTGTCACCCTTATAGTAATTGG